GAGAAAGTAGAGCGAACGGACATGACACTGTCCATTGATAGAACGAACCGTCTGTCATCGGCAACTCTATCTGTTTGAACACCTTACCGTTTATTGTCGTCAAGTTGTCGAGGTAATGGTTAACAGCGTCTTGCACTTTAGAATCCGCCACCGCGCCTCAGGGCACGGCGACGACGCACGGGAGGGGGGGCCTCAAGAGCCCAAGCATCCCAGGCACGGCGGCGCGCTGAGGCGGGTGGGGCGAGGAGGGCTGCCCCGTCGTCGTCGTCGTCGTCGTGGTCGTCGTCGTCGTCGTCGTCGTCGTCGTCGTTGTCGTGGTCGTGGTCGTCGTCGTCGTCGTCGTGGTCGTCGTCGTCACCGTCGTCGTCGTTGCGTCCCAGACCAGGCAGGGTGGCGGGATAGGCCGAAGGCCACTAGATACTCGCCCTCGGGAGCTTCGTCCGAGAGCCCGTCAAGAGTTCGAGAGAGCGCCGCATACGATTGCCGCAAGCCCGCATTCTGCACTAGTTGGGCCAGCCTGGGCTTTTTCGCAATCGGAGGAATCATGATGGAGGCTAGGGCCGAAGAGGCTGCGTAAGGGGGAGAAGGAGAAAGAGGGGGAGGGGATCGTAAGGATAGCCCAAGGCGGCTCAGGACGGCCCAATACATGGATCCCCGCTCAGGGCCGACGACGACGACCGACGACCGACCGACGACGACCGACGACCGATGACGACGACGAACGACGACCGACGAAGACTCGGCTGGATTCGTGGACAGATATCCTTCCCTCCCTCTTCCTTTCCTGCCCCTCTTCCGTGCTCCCAGATCTGGGGGCTAGACCTTGCATACAAACCGTACGCACGCACAACCAACGCACACACGCACACACACACACGGACCTAGCAATCGATATAAAACCACACACACATACACACAAGCGCGCAGACATTACAACATTGCGCTGGTCAACTTGGACAAACATACAAAGCACAAGTCCCACCAGCCTTTTAGGGCGTGGGTGCTTTAGATCCCACTATATTATCCTCTGTTCCTTTAATGGCAATAACGACATTTTCCTCCACGCCAGTCTGCAAAACATGTCCAGCCAGCACATCGAAAACCATGCAGACGTACCACACGAATAACGTAAGTGCTTCAATGTGTTTATGCGTGTCGGTGCGCGTTTGTGTCCAGTGTGCTGGTGGTGTGCCCGCTGTGTGCCTGCGGTGCGGCTTCCGCAAACAAAAACCAGCTCTCAAGGCCAAGGCCTTGAGAACGGGTTTTTGTTTTCCCAGGGCCGCCCAGAGCCGCGGCCCTCCCCCCCGTCCAGGCCCAGGGGAGGGCCCCCCCCCTCCCCCCTCCCCTGGGCCTGGACGGGGGGGAGGGCCGCGGCTCTGGGCGGCCCTGGGAAAACAAAAACCCGTTCTCGAGGCCTTGGCCTTGAGAGCTGGTTTTTGTGCAAGCCCCGCGGGCACACCCGAAACATGCAGACGTTTCGTCTAAATTCAAAAGTGGCTGCGCGTCTTCATGTATGTCGGTGCGCTTTTGTGCCCAGTGCGCTGGCGGTGTGCCCGTAGTGTGCTTGCGGCGTGGCGCGCGCGAGCGCGCATTTTCATTAGGGACGTCCTGGCAAAGTCTCGGGTCTGCAACACGACACGAACACCTTAAACCTAGGCGTATATATATATATATATATATATATATATATGGTGGTCCCCCGCGTCAATCTCCAGAACTTCAAACAACATCTTTTTGGAAAAAAATTGACAGCATTCCCCTTTCAAGAACACGAATTTTAAAGGCACGAGCAGTCTCCCTGGTTTACACTTTTTTCAATTACCTCAATTCAAATATTTTCGCTTTTCTATTCAAAGATATCTTCCCCAGAACTCTTGGTACTCGTGGTTTGAATTCTTGGTATTCTTGGTTTTCTTGTTTTTGTATTCTTGGAATTTTTGGTCGGGCCTCCAGCAATTGGAAGATCGGGCTATGCAGTTTTAGTTGGGATTCGCGAAGCGTGAACAATTTGGCACAAAAAGGTGGAACTCAAGAGTAAGTTGATACCATGTTACGAACAGGGGTTTAAAAGTTAGGAAAAATAGGAACAGTTAGGAACAGTTAGGAAAAGTTAGGAAAAGTTAGGAAAAGTTAGGAACAGTTACGGACAGCGTCCCGCGCACGCGCGCATAACTTCAGAAAACTTACAACATTATAAGTCGCGGTCGCGGGGAGTTATACATCGGGCAAGTCAGTTGCATGCTAACTCACTTATAACTCAAACATAACTCAAGTATACAAGGTCTAACCCATAAATCTGCAAAGCAAAGGTTCGGGGGGGCCGCCACGGGGGATGACGGCACCGATTTTTGCTCCCCCCCCCCCGCGGGCCTACTCATATATATATAATATATATACATACAAATATATATATATATATGTATATATATATATATATATATATATATATATAGAGGGAGAGAGAGAGAGAGAGAGACTACTCGAGAATATGAATATGAATCGTACGTCGTCCAAGGCGCCTCGGAAGGCGCAGAATACTCCTCCAAGGCGCGGAATCATGTTCCCGGACCGCCTTCCAGGAACATGATGGGGACGACCTCCTGAGGGCCTCCAGTGGGCCTCTTGGGGGCCTCTCGGAGGCCTGTTGGGCTCTCCTGGAGGCGTCTTGGGGCGCGCTCAGGGCCATTTTTGGCATCTTGGGGGCCTCTTGGGGGCCTCCGGGGAGGCTCTTGGGGGCCTCTTTGGGGCCTCTTGGGGCCTCGCGGGGCCCTCTTGGGGCCCGCTGGGCTCGCTTAGGCAGTCTTGAAGCCCTGTCGGGGCTCTCCTGGAACCGTCTTGGGCGGCTCCTGGGCCATCTTGGGGCTCTCCTGGGCCGTCTTGGGACGATTTTGGGGGTCTCTTGGGCCGTCTTGGGGCGGTCTTGGGGGCCTCTTCGGCCGTCTTGGAGCGGTTTTGGGAGACTCTTGGACGGTCTTGGAGCGTCGGAACCCCGAAAAAGCGAGAAGGCCAAAAAAATAAATAATATAATATATAATATATATATATATATATAATCACGATTTTGGCTTGTCGGGGCTCTCTTGGGAGGCCTCTTGGGATGCCTTCGGGGCCTCATGGAGCTCTCTTGGAACGTCTTCGGGCCTTCCTGGCCATTCCTGAGGCTATCTATGCGCGTCTTGGAGCGCTCGCGGGCCGTCTTGGGCGGTCTCGAACTGTTCCTGGCGGTCCCAGGGGCCCTCCGGGACGCTTCGGACGCTCCCGGGGGCGCCCTGCACCCCCCATGGAGATTACAGGCAGCGCCCCGGGCCGCCCCCGGGCCCTACTCCGATATATATATATATATATATATATATATATATATATATATACATAATTATATACATATACATATACTAGAACCACGCGCGCGCTTCGCGCGCGCTTAGGTTCTAGCTAGGAGGCGAGCTTGAGTCAACGAAAGTCGCAGGGAAGGGGGCAGGGGGAAGAAGGCCAGAGAGCGCTGAAGGATACAAATACTGGAACCCTCTTGTGATTTTGTGGGGGGCCTCGTCCGGCCGCTCGCTGGGAGTTTGACGTAGCTTCTCGGGAGCCTCTGAACCTGTCGGGGGCCTCCTGGAAGCAGGTTCGAGCATTTGGGGGCCATTTTGGGGCTTCTCGGGGCCTCCTTTGGGCCTCTTGGGGGTCTCCTGGGGCCTCTTGAGGGGCCTCCTTGGGGCCTCCTGGCGGCCTCTTGGGGCGGAAGGCTCGAGCTTGCGGTTCGTGGTCCCCCTCTGGGCCCCCTCTTGGGCCCGTCTTGGGGCCCTCTTGGGCCATCTTGGGCGCCTCTTGGGCCGTCTTGGGGCCCTCTTGGGCTGTCCTGGGGCCCTCTTGGAAGCTTCTTGGGCCGTCTTGGGGCGGTCTTGGAGGCCTCTTGGGCCGTCTTGGACGCGGTGAAAAGCCCAAGATGCGAACATGCGAAAAATATACGCTTTCCCATCGAAATGGCACGATTTTTGTTTCTTGGACCTCTCTTGGGGTGCCTCTCGGAACGTCTTGGGCTGATTTTGGAAGCCTTTTGGCGCCTCTGGGCGGCGTTTTGGCGCCTCCTGGGATATGTTGGGCCGGAAGCTCGGAATTCGAGTGGCTTTCTCCTTCTGGGACCCCTCTCGAAGTCGTCTTGGGGTTCTCTTGGGCCGTCTTGGGGCCGTCCTGAGCCACTCGTGCGCAGCCTTGGAGCGCTCCCGGAGGCCTCCTAGGCCGTCTTGGAGGCCTCTTGGGCCGTCTTGGACGCGGTGAAAGCCCAAGATGCGAACATGCGAAAAATATACGTTTTCCCATAGGAATGGCACGATTTTTGTTTCTTGGACCTCTCTTGGGGTGCCTCTCGGAACGTCTTGGGGTGCTTTTGGGAGCCTTTTGGCGCCTCTTGGCGGCATTTTGGCGCCTCCTGGAGCCTCTTGGGCCGGAAGCTCGGAATACGAAGTTGGTTTTCTCCGTCTGGGACCCCTCTCGAACTCGTCTTGGGGCTCTCTTCGGCCGTCTTGGGGCCGTCCTGGGCCACTCGTGCGCAGCCTTGGAGCGCTCCCGGAGGCCTCGTAGACCGTCTTGGGCGCCTCTTGGGCCGTCTTGGACGCGGTGAAAGCCCAAGATGCGAACATACGAAACATATACGTTTTCCCATCGGAATGGCACGATTTTTGCCTCTTGGGCCTCTCTTGGGCTGCCTCTCGAAGCGTCTTGGAGGTTTCTGGGACCTTCTTGGTGTCATGACAGGCGTCTTGGAAGGCATCTGGAGCCATCGGAGCGCGTTCCGAAGCCGCCTGCGAACGATCTTGGACGGCGTCCGGCGGTCCGACGAGCCTCCGGGCCCCCGGGGGCCCACATTTGTGGTCGGGGTCCCGGCCCCGGGCCCCCGGACCCAGTGCGTCGTTATATTTTATGTATATATATATATATATAATATATATATATATATATATATAATATATATATATATATCGATTTGCTTTGTTCCTCGACGCCCGGCTCCCCCAGCTGCGGCTGCTCGGCCACCGCGCCCCCCTCGCCTGATGGGCCAATCTTCCACCACCACAACCATAGGCAAACCAGGGGAGAAGGTGAGGTCGGTCCTCTTCTTCCTCCTCCTCCTCCTCCTCCTCCTCCTCCTCCCCCTCCTCCTCCTCCTCCTCCTCCTCTTCCTGCTCCTTGTCCTCTTCCTCCTCTAGAAGGAGAAGAAGGAAAAAAGAAGAAGACGAAGAAGAAGAGAAGGAAACAAACACATAAACATAAACTTTGGCGCTCCGCACGAATGTCCTGGATTCGCGCTGGACCCCCCTCCCTGGCGCGCAAAGCGCGCCAGGGGCGGCGCCAGAGACGCCGCCGGAGGGGCCCCAGCCGTGGATCCAAGAAATCGAGCGCAGAGCGCCAAAAGTTTATGTTCATGTTTTTTCTTCGAGTGGTGGACAATCGGTCCTCCTCCTCCTCCTTCTCCTCCTGTTTCTCCTCATGTTTCTCCTCCTCCTCCTCCTCCTCCTGCTCCTCCTCCTCCTCCTCCCTCTCCTCCAGCCTCTCCTCCTCCTCCTCCTCCTCCTCCTCCTCCTCCTCCTCATCCTCATCCTCCTCCTCCTTCTCTTCCTGCTCCGGCTCCTCCTCCTCCTGTAGAAACAGAAGAAGAAGACAAAGAAGAAGAAGAAGAAGAAGAAGAAGAAGACTAAGAAGAGAAAACAAACACATAAACATACACTTCGGCGTTCCGCGAAAATCCTGGATTCGCGCTGGGCCCGCCTCCCTGGCGCGCAAAGCGCGCCAGGGGCGGCGCCAGAGACGCCGCCGGAAGGGCCCCAGCCGTGGATCCATGAAATCCAGCGCAGAGCGCCAAAAGTTTATGTTCATGTTTTTTCTTGGAGTGGTGGACAATCGGTCCTCCTCCTCCTCCTCCTCCTCCACCTCCACCTCCACCTCCACCTTCTATTCTTCCTCCTGCTCCTCCTTCTGCTCCTCCTCCTCCTCCTGCTCCTCCTCCTCCTCCTTCTCCTGCTCCTCCTCCTCCTCCTCCTCCTCCTCCTCCTCCTCCTCTTTCTCCTCCTCCTCCTCCTCCTCCTCCTCCTCGTCCTCCTCCTCCTCCCGTCCTCCTCCTGCTCCTCCTCCTCCCCCTCCTCTTCCCCCTCCCCCTCCTCCTCCTCCCCCTCCTCCTCCCCCTACCTGTGGTAGTGGTGGACAAGTCAGCCCCTCATCGCCGCCCGACGGCCCGCGCGGCTCCGGCCCTCCAGCCTCGCCGCCCGCGGGCGGCGGACCGCCGCCCGCGGCGCGCCCCCGCAGCAGCTCCTGCCGGGAGGGCCCCGGCCCGGGGCTCCGACGACCGCGCGAGCGGCCGCTTGGGGCCCAGACGCCCAACCACACGCGAGGAGGAGGAGGGGGAGGAGAAGGAGGAGGAGGAGGAGGAGGAGGAGGAGGAGGAGGAGGAGGGGAGGAGGGAGGAGGGGGAGGGGGGGAGGGGAGGGGGAGGAGGAGGAGGAGGAGGAGGAGGAGGAGGAAGAAGGGGATGGAGAAGGGAAGAGGAGGAGGAGGAGGAGCAAGAGGAGCAGGAGGAGGAGGCGGAGGAGGAGGAGGAGGAGAAGGAGGGAGGAGGAGGAGGAGGGGGAGGGTCCCTCCCAGGGATCCAGACGTCCAGCCACGATCAAGAATGAAATGCGCGCGTTTTTGCCGATCTCGTTCCTTGCAATCGCTCGGGCGTCCATCCCACGTGCAAATTTCTGTTTCGTGCGTGTTTTCTGGGACGCAGGATCATCCAGGATGTTCCAGAATGAGCACGTCCAGGCGATGCCAATTTTTCTGGGGGGGGGGGGGCATACGTCCAACCACAATAGAGAATTCGAGTAGGAGATCGACCACATAATCGATTTGCCCCAAACTTGATTTTCCGCCGAGTCGACGGGAATACAAATACATCGAACCCCCACTCGACGAGAGAATCGATGCTGGGGTAAATCAATTCCGCAGTCGACCTCCTACGGCAAGTTCGCGTTGTGTCGACCCCGGCGTTGGTTCCTGACACTGCGGCTATCGTTCAAACTTGAACGATCGGCCGCTCAATGAACGCCGGATCGTTCTCAAGGATGGGCCGATTCTGGGCCACAGGCGGCGTTCAACCTTAAACGCCCGCGCTGGGGTCGCCGCCGGTCGGCACGACGCGAACCTGCCGCACTCGAAGCATGAACTGCGCAGAGCTCTGCCGATCTCGTCCTCTGGGGGCCCTCGCCGGGCCCCTGGCCGCCCAACAAGGGGGCTCGGGACAAAGGGCCGGCCCCGGGGAAGGGTGTCGGGATTGCCGGGGGCCCCGCGCTGGATGGGGTCGGAGGCGAAGCAAGGACGAGGATACACCTGGGTGAGGACAATATAATCTCCACGAACTGGCGGCCTTGAAGGATGTTTCGGGCGCCGCGGCCTTCTCAGAGCGTTCCGGCACGCTCTGCGAGCGTTCCAGGACGCTCTGGAACAGATGTATCCTCGTCCTAGCCCCGTCCGAGGGGTCGCCGCCGTCGTCTCCATCGTCGTCGTCTCCATCGTCGTCGTCATGCGGGGAGTTGTTGGGCGCGTCTGGAGGTTCTCGTCGACACGGCTGGACGCAGCTCGGAAAGCTGCGGGGAGACTCTGGGAAACGATTCTGAACGGACTCTGGCCAGGGGTGGACGCCCGCTACCCATCGCCTTCTCCCTCCCCTGCTCGCCCATGTTCGTCGGTCTCCTGGGGAGGGGGGAGGGGCCCTCGTCGCCGCGGCAGCGAAACCTTGGTCGGAGCGCAGCCCAGAGGCGAGGTCTGGGGAGCAGCGGTCCCGGTGTGGCTCCATCCCCCGCGTCCTTGAGCTGATGCAGCTCCTTCTGCTGAGCGCCGATGAGCTCCAGCGCCTGCTTCATCTCCCCCTGCTGCTCCTTGCGCATCGCCTCGATGCGCGCCGCGAGGCGCAGCATCGAGGCGTCGCCCTTCGCGTCTCCCTCGCCGCGGTCTCCGCTGCCCTCGTCCTCTTCGCCAGGCCCCTCTCTGTCTCTTCCGCCCTTGCCCGTCGCGCACGCGTCCCTCACGGGGAGCAGCTCGGCGCCGCTCTGCCTGAACTCCTTCGCGGCAGACATGAACTCCCTGTAGCCGCTCCTCTTAGAGAAGGCATCGCCGTACCATTTTGCCATTATGGTGTTCACTTCGTGCTTCCAGTCGAGCTGAGAACTCTTCAGATGCTCCACGTAACGCTCGCCGACGATGGCGATGAATACGTTTGCCAGCGTTCCAGTGACCAAGAAAGTCACGAAAAAGAAAAACGCATAAAGATAGAATACGTCCGAACCATTCCCAAATTTATTCGTTTTAGAAAACGTGTCTGTATAGTCCCAATCTGACCAAATAAACCGGTACATGCCAAGAATGGCGTCTGGGACCGTGGCAAATGACCGTTGGTCGGCACCAACCATTGTGTGCACAGTGAACGCGCATCCCATTACGCAAGCCAGTAGAAATACAAGAAATTGCCACACTTTCGAGTCCATAAGCGTCTGCACGATAGCTTGCATTTGGGGCCCTATACCAGGAAGTAATCTCAAGATCCGGATTAGGTTAAAAGTTTGCAGCAAGAAGGTGGAGCTAAATACTTTTTGAAGGTGGACCGAGTAGGAGGCTATCTGGGTGAAGTCGACAGCATGGTGTGCTGAGGTGACGGGGTCATCCGACTCTGGATCCAGCTTGTTTGCAAGCAGGGCTTGCTGGACAGACACCAGGCCAAGAAGAACAACAATGACAATGTGCACGATATCCACCGCCAGATCAAACCTCTGCTCGCCGCTCTCCCAATAGTTGGGCTCTGACAAGATCTGACGAATCTCACTCGTGATCTGGAATATTGAGTGAACAGAGAAAAACATGCACATCAGGAAGGGGTACATCCAAGAGAGCACGTCGTTGATCGGCATCCACAGAAAGACCCTGGTCTTGGGCTTCGGGTTGGTTAGCCCGCTCGGGCGGAACTCCACCCTCATGATGGGCAAATGTTCCACCACCGCTACAGTATGTAGGACGTGGGAGAAGGGAGGAGGAGGAGTTCCCCCTCTCCTTCTCCTCCTCCTCCCTCTCCTACCTATGGTAATGGTGGTGGAAAATGGGCCCACGACCTCAAGTCGCTGAGCAAAATCCTCTGCAACTGCGTGTTGTAGATGGCGAAGCTTATCCGGACGCCCCCCGTCCTCGCCCAGGCATCCTCTCAAGTTGGGGATCGACCACAGAATTGCCGTGTTGCAAACTTAACCTGCCCGTCGAATCTACGACACTTTAGTGCAATGGCTCGCACATCTACGGGACATTCGACGTATCCGTTCTCCGTGGACTGAACGCAAGTTTTTCAAGTTTGGGGCACATCAGAAATGTAGTCCATCCCCCACTCGATCCTTGTCGATCGCCTTCACGGCGGCGATCGCGGCTGAGCGATTGCTGCGCGGAAGGACCACGTCGTTCGCGAAGTCGCCACGGCCCACCACGCAGGGCTCCCTGGAGCTGCCCCCGAGGCTCTTGAACTTCAAAGGGCTCCTCCCAGGCAGAGCCGAGGGAACAAATACCGCAAAACTACCCCAAACATACTCCAAAGATGCCCCAAAATAATCAAACAATAGCCCGAACATGCCCTGGAAACACCCCACATATATCGGGCCGGGCGAAAGGGGGGGATAGCAACGGGGGGGGGGTGAGAATCAGCTCTCGTAGCTGATTTTCCCGGCGCCTCCCGGCGCCAGGAGGCGCCCATGTATCAAGGGATGGACCCGGCAGCGGGGCAGAAACCAGCTGCATGCAGCAAATTTCGTAACCCCCCCTTTCCCAATCCCCCCCTTTCGTTCGGCCCGAATGCACGCCTAAAATACTGGAAAAATCATTAATAATTATAATCAAACGTTTATCAGGGAGGTCGCCGGCTCCTCGAGAGCACGGGCCGCCCCGATCCCCCCAGAGCCCCCCCACAGGACTTCCGAAGACGGCCAACGACGTCCAGAACCTCCTCGATCCTCAATTCCTCCTCCCCCTCGACCCTCAGTTTCCAGGACGAGCTGGCGAGCCCCCTAACAGCGATCCCCCCCCTCCCCGGCCCACGACGGCCCGCTCCTCATGAGCGCGCCGTCGCAGCTCCCGTAGGTGAACGGATTGTTCTGCAGCACGGGGCTCCCGATCAGGTAGGCGAAAGGCCCGACCTGGCCGGGCGGGCCTTCCTCGGGGAACAGGTTGTCCATCAGGACGCCGTCGACGAATACCTGTAGGGCCGCAACTGCTGGGGGAAGCCTTCGTGGGAACTCGCTGGAGGCACCAGGCGGCCCGATCAAAGGGCAATTTTCGCGAGGGCTGGCCCAGATTCAGCCCAGGATCGAGCCAGCTTCCGGAGGGTTCCAGAGGGGGTGTTGGGGGAGGGGGTTTTCCAGGAGGTGTCCCCCAGGGGCTTCGCGCCCCCGAATTTGACGAGGTTCCGAGGGGCTCTCTGGAAGAACCCTCCCCAAAAAACCCTTTTGGAATCCTCTGGAGCTTAGTCGGGATTTCGCTGAATAGAGCGGGAGTGCGCAAGATTGGGCCAGCTGTCGGCCGCGGATGTACCAGCGCCGATGCCAAATTGAATTCAACCTCCCAGAAGTTGCATACCAGGATGCCCACACGTCGTCCGGAGACTGCATTTGCGGGAAGGCCTTCTCGAAGGCCTCCTCCTCCCAGGGGAACTCCTCCTGGAGGACGTTTTTGTTGAACTGCTCGTTGTAGAAATACGCGTGCTCCTCGAACTGAATGTCGAGTTCCATCCTAGAACTCGAAAACAAGCCGCCGATGAAGACGCTCTCGGCCATGAACCATAATAATACGTACCAGCCCATGAAAATCCGTCGGCTCCCGCTTGCTGGGGGTCACAGGACGTGTGAGATGTTCGGCTGTCACTCTGCCACCCCTGTCCCCCCATCTTCGAGAATGCAAGCTCCCGTTAGAGGGGGGGGCTAACGTAAAGAGCCCCTCAACTCACTGCGTGGCTGCTCAGCACACTGCCAAGTAGCCCTGCCAAACGCTGACAATGGTCCAAATTGCCAGAAGGAAGGGGGCGGGCAGAGGCCCCCGAGACGGTTCAAGGGGCATGTCAACAAAAACCAGACGGTTCCCAAATGCCCCTAAGAGCCCTCCCAGGAGCCCTCCCGGAGGTCTCCCGCGGTTCCCCACGGCCCCGCAAAAGCTCCCAAACTTGGGCGTGGCTCAATGGGGGGGTCACAAATGGGGGGGTCAGAAAAGGTCCCCTTTCGCGCCCCTTTCGGGCCCCTCCGGACCCCCAGGGGGCTCGTTTAGGTACCGTTTGGGTACTTTTTTTTTCCGACTCCACACGCCTCCACTCTGGGCTGCAAGCGGAAGACTGTATGTGCCAACCTGGAAAAACTTCCCACGCCAGGCTATTCGCCTGCGTGGCAGTGCGGGGCACCGCGGCTCTTATTCGGACACCGGGACAGGCCGACAAAGAAACGCGGGCCAGGCAAGGGGCAGAAACGCGGGTACTTTTTCGGACCACCCTCGCCACCCCCCCATTTATGACCCCCCATTGCGCACCGTCCAACAAACGGGCCCAAAACGGTTCCGCAACTGCCCCAGCTGGCCCCCCAAAGCGGTTCCGGCACGGCGGCCGAAGACCGCCCCGAGATGGCCCCGAGACCCCCCCCCCAGCGGCCCGACGCCCTACGACTCCCGACGGGGAGGCCAAGATGGCCACGAGAGGAGCCACGAGAGCCCAAGAGGTAGAGGAAAAAGAACTATGCACATACACCGATTCTGGCCAGGCCCATCCTGAGCCCAGGATCGGTGCATACGCCCTCCTACCTTGGCCAGGAAGGCGTATGCACCGATCCTGGGTCAAGGATGGGCCTTGCCAGGATCGGTGCATGTGCATAGTTCTCTTCGCCCGAAAGAGGGCTGCATGAGTGAAGACCCCGAACTGCCACACGAGGGCCGCGAGACAGGCCCGATGTTTGGTCACACGCGTACAGTTGGACCTAGACCAGAAGAACATCCAAGGATACCCTCCCCAGGGCGCACAAGGACATCCAGTGACATCCAATAATCACGAAGAACATTTTGGGTACCCTCACCGAACCGACCTCGATGTTTTGCTGTTGGTCCGACTGTTTGCAAGCCGTGCCCCCGAACTCTCAATGGTCCGGAGATTTGCGTGCTAATCCCCCCCTCATGGGTTCTGGCCTGTCCAGCCGTGACTCCCGCTCTGCGGACTCAGTCTTTTGCTCTCCTGTCACTGGCGACACCAGACTGGAAGGGCCATTCGAGGCCGATGCTCTCGCCGCGCCTCAACTCCGTCACTCCCGCTGCTGGGCACTGTCCTCCACTCCTCCTCCCCCTTCCAGAGGCCTCCCGGATGGGATGGGAGGATCGCGCCGCATCGCCGATGCATCGCCGATACACCAGCGACGCCGATGATGCATCGGCGCCGACGGCGTGGAGAAAATCGGGCTGCACATCGAGTCGCATCGCCGATGCATCGGCGACGCGGCGGAATCCTCCAGCCCTATCTACTCCGACCTGATCTGGGAGGCCTAGACGCCAACCCCCCTCGTACAACCCATATCCCAGTATTTCTTCTTCCTCCTTCTCGAGCCACCTGGGCCCAAGGGTTCTGGTTCCTTCACCAAGCTTTGGCACCCTCGTGTGTAGCTCGCGGAGCTGAATGGGGCTGAGATGGCCCAGCGGGCGCGCAAGTCCGCGCAGAAGAACATGTTCGGAGAGCGCGCGCCCCAGGTCTTCAAGGAGCTGGTGGAAGAAGAGCTCAGCGAGGGAAACCTCGCAGGTCGGATCAAGCTCGCCACCATGGAGCACGCGCGAGGGGCCCGCATCGAGGCGGTCGAGCTGGACGCAGCTGATCACGGCATCGTGGAAGAGGACGCGGCGCTGGGCACGGCGGGTCTACGGCCGCCAGGTGCAGGGGGCAGGGGGCACAGCCAACCACTGTCGTCGGCCGCGCGGGCCAGAGTGGTGCGCAGATGGGCGAGCGGTGGCAGCAGGTCAAATCAGAGCCCACGGTCGGTAACCTCGTGGTCAGCGCCGGGGCGAAGCCAGAGCGCCCTTGACCTCAGCTGCGATGCGCGCGAGAAGGGCGGGCAGTGGCATGCAGATCAGGCAGTGGCAGCAGGCGCAGACGGAGCCCAACGCCGTCAGCTGCGACGCGGGGCCGAGGGGCGGCACGAGGAGGCACGGCCCAACTTCAGAGAAAGCCTGGCTGAGACGACGGCAGCTCTAAATCGGTCCCCGGACCCCTCCCCGAGGTCCAAAAACGCAGGAAATTCCCGAGCTGCGTCCAGCCGTGGCGACGAGGGGGGGGGTCAACCGAAGGCAGACTACCGAGGCAGACTGCTGTTGTCGCGACTCACCCTCCTCTGACAGGTGTGGCGGCTGGGAGGGCCGCCCCAGCGCCGCACACCCATTTAGCGAGCGAAGAACGGCGTAAAACAAACAGTTCCGCCGTTGGGGGCGCCTGCCATCCGGGCGTCTGGAACATTGTTTGCCCCTACGTGGCACCGTAGGGGTATCAACTCTGCAGCCGCCCTGGGTGCAGGCGTTCCCGACGGCGGAAAAGTCGTGCCCCAGGGAAGCAGCCGGGGTGTGAGCATCCTGCGCACAGATGGCCCTCGCCATCGCTCGCGTGTTGGATTGTTCGATGATCCAGGATGCTCCTCGATGGTGCTCACCGAAGAGAAAATGTAGATTGGAGAGCCAAAAGGTACCAATACCGCTGCGCCCCGGACCTCTCCTGGGGTTCTTTCTGACCAAGACGTCGAGGCAAATCCGGCGTTGGCGACGAGGGCCTCCCAGGAGGCCCCAAAGGGGGAGAGCGATGGGAGGGTAGCGGTATGGGTACCATTTCCCAATCTGAGGTCCAGGATGCTCCTCAATGGCGCTCGCCGAAGACAAAAGCGCACGTCCGAGCGATGCCAAAGCAGCATGCACACACGGGATGGGCCGTGGCGGCAACAGGTGCAAAGCCTGTGCCGCCTGCGCCCTGGAGGGCAGGCTCGGACGATGCGGCCCCAAGAGCAGCCAGGAGTTCGCCCACGAAGGGTTCGCCGACGAAGACGAGCTGCGAGCTCGGCGGCGGGATTGGACGCGAGTTAATGGGGGGGCGATACATGGGGGGGGGGTGAATGTGCCCTTTTCAGACCCTGAAGGCCCCCGCTGGGAACCCAAAGGGCCCCGTCAGGGGCCCTGGGGAGTATCTTCTCTGCAGCCCTCGCTGCCCCCCCACTCGTTGCCCCCCTTCATTCGCGCCCAACGGGAGCAGTCTGAGGCCGCACAAACCTTGTTCTTGAGCCGAAGAAGAACGGCATAGCTGTTCTGCCGTCGGGAAAGCCTGCCCCACGGCGGCTGGAAAATGTATACCCCGACGCGGCACCGTGAGGATATGAACTTTCCAGCCGCCCTGGGGAAGGCGTCCCTGGCGGTGGAACAGTTTGTATTGTGCCTTTCTCTCTCCGTCTGCTAAAGGAGTGGCCAAACACCCCTCGACGCATGTGAGGCATCACTTCCTGGGAGCTCCTCGTGAGAACGATTCAGCACTACCCAGCAACATGAAAATGCCAATGAGTCGGGCTAGCCCAAAGTAGGCCCAATGCCCGATTAGGCCGGATCAAGCAGGATCCAGCCGGATGTAGCGGGGCTCTGGAGGATAAGGCCAGTTCGACCAAGAATATGTAAGCGCAGATGCTGAAGTCAACCTTTCAGTTGGATCCTGACTCGTGGCCCACGGGTGCCAGCAAAAAAACCGAAGGAGGTCGAGAATGCCAGAAGCATTGATGAGCCCGCGGCTCCTCTATGATTTCGCCTCCCGAGCACTCCAGCAAATCACGACCTCTGGAGTGCGGAACGAGAGACCAAAGACGAGCCTGGAGCGGTCAAAACGCTGGCCCGCGAGGACTTCAAGAATATCCACTGAGGCTCGAGATGTCATCTCGAGGGGTCCCGAAGGGCCAACAATGCTGTCCACACGGGCCAAGAAGACCTAGTCGAACAAGTGTCAGCGGCGACAAGGCCCAATCGAGACCCCCAAAACTACGCAACCAGTACAAAAGAAACACGCCATCTCCGCGCGGACTTATTGGACCTGGGCTGGACTCCCCTCCCTGGCGCGCGGAGCGCGGATCCCAGAACTCCGCGCGGAGCGCCGAAAACTTATGATTATGGAGTTTTTGTTTTTGTTTCGAAGCATGGCCCCGAGGATACCCCGAGAGGGAACCCGGACTCCATCGAACCAATCCTCGCTCCCCGACGGCGCCTTCCCCTACTCGTAGGTCAGGCCTGTCCCCCTACAATGAGATTATGGGCGAAAAATGAAACAATACACAAACAATACTCCCAAAATGCTCAAACATCCCACAACAACATACTGAAAAACATGATCCCAAAAGGCCCACGAAATATCAAAACATACAATTTTTGAGCATCCCTCCTGTAGAGGGACAGGCACGACGTAACCCCTACCTCGGGCAGCCCGTGCAGCCCAGACTGCCGCGTCCACCTCCTCTTTTCAGGGGTCGGCGGGGGGGTGGCTCACAAGCCTCCCGCATAAGGAGCCTCTGCGTCAGGTGCCGGATCAGGAACGACCTGCGGTACTTGCCTCACATCGGGCGTATCCCCCTGCAGGGGGGTTTTGGGCGAAGTATGTGCTTATTAATACTCAAAAGATGCTCCCCACATGGGCAAACATAGTCAAAACATCTTCCCCCGACGATTTGTTTGACTGTTTTTGAATATACCTCCTGCAGAGGGACAGGCCCGACTCAACACTTGCCTCCTTCCGTCGTCGTGTTCAGCATCTCGACCATGTCCGCCGTGCTCGGCGACACCGACAGGCGCTGCTCGTCGCCCCGTGCCAGGGCGGCCATCCGCCTCCGCCCGGCCGCCGAGTGCCTCTCCGAGGTGGCGTGCCAGATCTGCAGCAGGACAAGGTGGTAGGGGGAGCAGGGCCAGACGAGGCACTCCAGTCTCGGCTCGTGCCTCCAGAGCCAGCGCGCGCTGCGCACCACCGAGAACGCCCTCCCGGCCTCGCTGGTGGCAGCGCTGGCCGCCGTCTCGTTGTCGGCCTTCTGGTAGCACGTGGTGATGCTCAGATTCGTCTGGTTGCTGACCTGACATCACAGATCTGAGCCGCGAAGGCCATCGCCATCATTAGAGGAAAGAGAACTATGCACATACACCGATTCTGGCCAGGCCCACCCTGAGCCCAGGATCGGTGCATACGCCCTCCTGCCTTGGCCAGGAAGGCATGTGCACCGATCCTGGGTCAAGGATGGGCCTTGCCAGGATCGGTGCATGTGCATAGTTCCCTTCGCCCGAGCCATCATCCTTCGGGCTCCGCGCGGGTTCCTCGGATCGGCGCTGGACCCCCCCCTGGCAGCGTCTCGGGCGCCGCCCCCTGGCGCGCCTCGCGCGTCAGGGAGGGGGGCCTAGCGCCGACGGAAGAGAGCTCCGCGCGGCATTCCCAAAGAGTGTGCGCTCTTCAGGTTTTGTGATGCTCTTCGAAGGCCTGCTGCGCCGACGAGAGCAGCGTCTGGACCACCTCCGACGACACGCAGGAGCGACCCTAGGCAAGAGGAACCTTCGGCGCGTGGCTTCCAGCGTGCAGGCCAGTCCTGGGCGCCAAATCCACGCGCAGGGATCGACCAAAACAGTGCTTTCCGTTTTCGTGTTGTGTGTTTCGTGTTCCCCTCGTGCTGTCTTCGCTCCGCCCTTGCTGCAGATTGGCGGTGCGCACAAGGGGATGGAGGGAGGGGGGAGGGCTTCTTAGAAGGAGGCTGCTTCTTAGAAGGCGCCGAGATAAGGCCCGCGCCTTCTGAGAAGCAGGGGTGCTGCTAAGACGCCCTCCCCCCTGCCACCCCACCCCCCTCTGCGCGCGGCCGAGCAGCACGAAGTCCAAACGACAACGGCCCACGACCTCGCTAAAGACACACCGCTCATGGGCGAGCCCGGGTCGAAGCGCGCAGGCCGGTCCCCGGGGGCACCCCCGGCGAAGGGGCACTCCACGCAGGGGCAGCCAAGTTCGCACCCTCGCGCGAAGGTATGTGTTTGGGCGAAGGATGCCTCTCAAGATGCATGGGCCATCGATCTAACCCCCGGCGAAGGTCACCTCTGGCGAAGGGGCACTCCACGCAGCCGACGCCCAGGGGCAGCCAAGTTCGCACCCTCGCGCTCTCGCGCCGACCGCCTGGGGGAGACTCGGAAGCCAGGGGAAGGCTGGCAAGCCCATGGCTGCTAAAACGGAGGCCCGGGAAATTATGTTTCTTCCTCTGGGATGCAGCCCGTTTGCTAGTTAATGCGCCGACTTTGATTCCGGGAACTTGTTTTTCTTCCGGTAAGACCGTTTTAGCAGCCACGGCTTTGCAAGCCCTCGCCCAGCTTCCGAGAGACGAGCCATCGCGGGCCGCGGATCACTTCGCGCCCTCGTGGTTGCCCTCGACACCTGGGTGTGCCCGTGCTGCACGGCCAGCTCGAGCGGGGTGAAGTGCTCCCTGTCCCGCTCCCTCAGCATGTGGTCGATTTTGTGCTCGGTGAACAGCTCCACGAGCAGCCTCACCAACCTGTGGTGGTTGTGCCTCGCTGCCCAGTGCAGTGCGAGCCGGCCGTCGTCGTCCTTCTCCCGGACGAGGTGGCCGCACTCCTCCCTGAGCGCCTCTGCAGCCACAGGAAGCGGCGCAACCAGAAACTTTTCGGCAGCACACAACGTCACAGACTGCCTGTCACGTTGTGCTACGTGGTGCTACACCCGAAACGTAACACAACAACGGCCCGCGCGGATTGCTCGTCTTTGCGCTGGACCCCTGGCAGCGCTTCCTGCGCCGTCCCTGGCGCGCTCCGCGCACCGAGGAGGACCCAACGCTGGTCCGAGGAACCCGTGCGGACCTCCAGAAGTGTCGTCGTTAGGGGGCCACTGGCGAACCCTACCCCTACCCCCCACGATTTCTGAAGGGGAGGGTGGGGTTCACTTCGTGCGGGAGCTCCCGAGCGAAGTGAACCCCACCCTCCCCCTCAGTAATCGTGGGGGGTAGGGGTAGGGTTCGCAAGTGGCCCCCTAGTCGTCGTCGTTGTCGCCATTCAGGGTCGGCGGCACTGGCCGCAAGGCATTCGCAATACCGGACAGGTGGGAGATTCACTCGCCACGGCGGGCATCGGCCACGAAGAGGTCCCCCGACACGGGACCGGAAAAGGGACAGAGAATCACGGCCCCATGCTGGACCCTGGCGCGACAGGGAGGCCACCTGCGAACCCTACCCCTGCCCCCCACGACTTCTGAGGGGGAGGGCGGGGTTCACTTCGCTCGGGAGCTCCCGAGCGAAGTAAACCCCACCCTCAACCTCAGAAGTCGTGGGGGGCAGGGGTAGGACTCGCATGTGGCCCCCTAGCGACAGGGAGGGGGGTCAAGCGGCGATCCACGAAATCCAGGCGGGTCTCCGAGAGGTCATGTGGGCGACAACCAAAAACGGGCTTTACGCGAGATGACGTAGCGACCTTACGCCGCAGCTTACGCGGGCCGCCAGCCAGCGCAGCACGTTGCATTGGAGACGGGGGCGCTTACGCGCGACCTTCCGCCGGCAGCTTACACGCCAATGTCGGCGCAGACGACACGACCCCCTATTTTCGGGGATGGACGGACCCCCCTTTAGTAAAACGTGGTTTAGTGAAAACGACCTGAGGCCCAAACCTGGCGGGCGCGAGCCTGGAAAATAACAGCCACGGCGCCCTCTCGAGAACCGAAAACGGACAACTCACTAATCGACGTGTCACCGTTAGGGGTTCTGTCCACCCCCGATATTTAGCGTTGCTCATGTATAAGTTGTCAAGACTTCGTTGCCAGCAGCTGCAGAGCTGGCAACGAAGTCTTGACATCTATCACACAGAGAGTCGCACGATACTACAGACAATAACACGATCACGCAGACGATAAAAAGGAGAACGCGAGAATACAGACACGAGAAAAACGCGCTATGGCCGCTGCCCCTGGCGCACGAAACGCGCAAATGGCGGCGCTGTAGTCACTGCCAGAGGGACCCAGCGCCGTTTCAAAAGATTCGCCCGGGCATCCGAGAGCCTAATCACCAAACAGTGCTTACAAACTTCGATGTTTGGGGTGAAGAGGGAGGGGCGGGAAGCGGAAATGCCAGCAATCACACGACTCATTGAAACCAGCGCGTGGCCCCTGACATATGCCTTCAAAAGCGCGCAAATTGCCACTCGTGAACTTGGCAAGACGCGGCATCTTGAAGCTATTTGTGAACAACGCCGATCCCAGACATCCGCACGGCATGCCTACAATTTCTTCGAGGCCTCCTAGATGGGGTCCGAATAACGGGGTCGGGGAATCGCGGCGCATCGCCGATGCATCGGCGACGTTGGCGATGAGAACATTGGGCTCCGCATCGAGACTCTTGGGCGACGCATCGGTGATGCGGCGCGACCCTGCGATCCCCGCCTGCTCGGACCAAATATTCGACGGCGAGCCCAGGGGGGAAGTGAGATGGGGTAGGCCTTCTCTGAAGGCGGCGAGACTTCTCAAAAGCCCTCGCACCTTCTGAGAAGTCTTGCAATTAGGTCGGGAAGGTCCCCCTACAGACGGATTTTGAGCGGAACAAGCGATACTCAAACAAGATTCGAAACTTGCCAGAAAACTTCTCCACACACCGTCCCTCGACGATTTTTCTTACTGTGTTTGAACCTTCCTCCTGTAGAGGGACGTGCCCGACTCAATGCAAGCCTTTTTCTGGAGATGCAGACGGCTCCGCAGACGTCCAGAGGTCCTCTGAGAAGCCCCGCCGCCTTCCGAGGCCTGCCCTTTGCCACTGCCCCCTCCGCAGGCCGCCGAACTTGGTCTTCAGGCCATAACGCGGGGCTCTTCGCGTTGACCCAAAAGGGGGCCCAGCGACAAGGGGGTGGTGCAATAGATTCGGTGCAATCGATATTTGTGGGGGTGCAATACATCTGGGGAGCGCAGTACACTTCGGGGCGCAAGTGTGCTGCTGCATTTTCGCGTGCAATACATTACTTGCAATACGATGCAATACAATTCTCCGGCGCAGTGCATTTGCAAAACAATTGCCCAAAATCTATTGCACCACTCCCTTTCAGCTGGACCCCCTTTCGGGTCACCCAGAGCTCTGGCCCCCCCGAACGCTCTCGGCGAGGCGTATCTGCTGGAAAACGTCGCGAAGCTGGAAAACGCCCAGACACCGAAGAAGCCGTCAGAAAACGTAGACTCTCCCGCAGCCTCGTCGGGCTGTTCAATAGGCACCCGAGCTATCAGGGATAGGCCTGGTCTGGGTACGGCCCTGTCTGGTGTCCCTTAATCTGGTCCGGGTCAACCCTGTAGTTGATCGCTTGATCCGGAATAACTCTCATGTTTCAGGGGGCTGCTGGGCACCATTTGGGGAACCCAAACAACATAAACATAAAAACTCGAAGGTCCGCGCGGATTTCTCGGATCGGCGCTGGACCCCCCTCCCTGGCGCGCGGAGCGCGCCAGGGGCGGCGCCGGAGGCGCCGCCGGGGGGCCCCAGCGCCGATCCGAGAAATCCGCGCGGACCTCAGAGTCTTTATGTTTATGTCACTTTTGATTCCCCAAACCATCCACCTGGTGCAGAATCAGGCTTAGGTCGGGCCTGTCCCCCTACAGGCGGATTTTCGGCGAAAGTGTAGAAATACTGAAAAATGCTCCAAACGATCCAACAACGATGGTCACAAATTCGTCCCCTGACTATTTTTGTTGACTATTTTTGCATATCCCATCTGTAGAAGGACACGCCCGACCTACAATTAGGGGACGAGTAATGACAGGAACATTAAAACTTGAAGGTCCGCGCGGACCTCAGAGATTTTACGGTTATGTCAATATTTGAATGGGGAAGAATGTGACCTGGGAAAGCTTAGATTGAACTCGAAGTGGGGCAATTCGGGCGCGAAAGCGGGAGGCCCGAATCAGTAGTGACCCCTGCAGCCCCTTCCCTGAGAACCCTGGGCTTTGAACTTTTGCTGATACCACGTTTGTTCTTCCTCGAGCCTCGGCCCACAGCAGCTGCTCCTCGTGGCCGCCCGCGCCGGGATTTTCTGGCGTCGCCAGGTCGTGCCAGACCGTGCGCCGCCTGCTGCGAGGGATCGACAGGGGCTGGGCCGGCTGGGGGGGGAGGAAACATGGACATGAACGACGAGAAGACACGGGCCTTACGCACTAGGTCAGGCATGTCCTCCTACAGGCGGTCTTTGGAAGAAAAGTGAAACCAAAAATCGGACATGGCCAGAAAAGCGCGAAACATCGTCACCACCCCTTTTCTTGCTATCCTTGAATACTCCTCTTGTAGAGGGACATGCCCGACTTAAGGCTATGACATCTTGACCTCACGCCGCGTCTCCCGCGGGCCGGCAGCGTGGCGCACCGCGTGGGGAAGAGGGTGCTCGCGCGCGACCTCACGCGCCTCTATGTCGGCGCAGCCGACCCCTCTTGCTCCCGTCGGTCGCATGGAACCGCCGATGTCAGAGGCCTCCTGGATGGGGTCCGAGCAGATGGGGGGGCGGAGGATCGCGCCGCATCGCCGATGCACCCGCGATGCGTCGGCCACGTCGGCGATGCATCGGCGCCGTCGGGGTGGGGAAAACCAGGCTCCGCTTCGAACCGCACCGCCGATGCATCGGGGATGCGGCGCGATCCTCCGGCCCCAATCCCCGATGTGGGAGGCCTGGATAGAGAGAGAGGGAGAGAGAGAGAGAGACATGTGTGTATATATATATATATATATATATATATATATCAGTATATATATATATATACATACACTAGAACCATCGCTCGCGCTCAGGTTCTAGTTGAGGTCGCCGCTCAGGTGCGATGCCCGCGACGATTCTTACCACGAAGACGGCGGCGTGCACTCCGCTCACGTTCGCACGCCATCTTCCGGAGGAGCGTTCCCCGAGCATGGGGCGCCAGAGGCTCGCCCGCTCTTCCCCCCTCCCGGACTCTTGGGTTGCGTAGGGCCGGTCTTGCGGGCTCCCTGGGGCTCTCTGGGCCCGCCTAGGGCTGTTTGGGAGCGGACCTGGAGGCGCGCTGGGCCCTAGTGGAGCGTCGGAAAGCCGAAAAGACAAGAAGGCCAATATCCTCCAACTCCTAGGTAAAATGCGCGATGTTGGCCTGTTGGGGCCCTCTTGGGGGTGCTCCTGGAGGCGTCTAGAGCCATGTTTGAAGCCTCCTGGGAACTACCTGGGGCCTCCTGGGGTTCTCTTGAGGCGGAAGCCCTGGGTTTTCCGGACGCGGTCCGTCTCTTGGACACCTCTCGGGCCTGTTTTGGGGCACTCGTGGGCTGCACTGGGCGCTTTTGGGGCCAGCCTTGGGCTCTCCGGGACCGCCTCGGGGCGGCCTTGGGCGTTTCTGGAGCTGTTTGGGGGCGGTCTCGGAGGCCTCCTGGGCTGCCTAAGAGCGTCGGACAGCCGCAAAGATCGGAAGGCCCAAACCCTTCCAAAACTATTGTAAAAACCATTAATGTTTGGCCTGCTGGGGCCCTCGTGGGAGTGCTCTTGGGGGCGTGTGGAGCCATGTTGGGGGACTCCTGGGAGCTGCCTGGGGCTTCCGGGGTCACTGTTGAGGCGGGAGCCCTGGGTGTTCGGTACGCGGTCCCTCTCTTGGGCGCTTCTTGGGCTTGTTTTGGAGCCTTCTTGGGCTCTTGTGGGCGTTTCTTAGGCCAGCCTTGGGCTCTCCGGGGCCGCCTTGGGCTTGTCTTGGGGGCCTTTGGGGCTGCTTGGGGGCGGACCTGGAGACCTCCTGGGCCGTCTTGGAGCGTCGTACAACCGACAAAAAACAGAAGGCCAAGATCCTTCCAAAACCGTCCCGAAACCATTAATTTTGGCCGCCTGGGGCTCTCTTGGGAGTGTTCCTGGAAGCGTCTGGAGCCATGTTGGAGGCCTCCCGAAACCACTACCACGTGCTTCGGCGACATGGGTCGAAGATGGGGACCATTCCTGGTGCAGATACATCACCAGGGTCCGTCCAGAGCCGCTCTGGAAAGGCCCCGGAGCGGCTCTGGAGAGGCCCGGGGGGGGGGTCCCCCCATGGCGAATCGACGCAGCTGGTCAGAGGCCCCCGGCCCCGTACCCCGACACACACACACACACACACACACACGCACACACACACATATATATATATATATATATATATATATATATGTATGCATGTGTATGTATGTGTATATATATATGTATGTAGTAGAACCTTCGCGGGCGCTTCGCGCGCGCTTAGGTTCTAGCCAACCCCAGCCTTGGACAAGGTCAAAGCTGCACGTATGGAAGCCCGCAGATCGTGCGAACATGAGTTCAGGGAGTGGCAAGCACGCTATATGTATGCATGTATATGCTTGTATCCATATCCCTATATATATGTGTGTATACATATATATGTGTACATATATATATATATATATATATTGTATATATTTACATACATACATAAACATACGTGTGTGTATATGTACATGCACACATACATACATCCATGCATACATGGATGCATGCATGAACAAACGCGGAAAACAAACACATACACACGTTCATACATGCGTACGTTGGAAGGAGAGGCGGCAACGTGCTCCGGTAGCGCGTTTCCGGAGCATGTTGTGCGAGAGGCGTCGTACCAGAATACGCCCAGAGTGGCCGGCAGACGGCCGAAGAACCTTTGGAGACCGCTTCTGAGGGGATCTCCTGGGAGCGCCTTGGGGGCCTCTGGGCGGCCTCGTGGGGCCTCCTGGCGGCCTCTTGAGGTAGAAGGCTAGAGCTTTGGGTGCACGGTTGTCCACTAAAGTCTTCAATCGGCACCGAACGCTGGGAGGAGAGGCGGCAACGTGCTCCGGCAGCGCGTTCCCGGAGCATGTTTGGGGGACCTCGGTAGGCAATTTTGAAGCCTCTCGGAAGCCGTTTTGGGGCCTCTCGATGCCACCTCTTTTGGGCCTCCTGGGGGCCTCTTAGTGGCCTTCTGGGCTGTCTTCGGGGCCTCTGAGGGCTTCCTGGGGGCATCTTGGGGCGGAGAGCTCGACTGGTCGGTGCGTGTTCCCTCTCTTGGGCCGCTTTTGGCGCCTTCTTGGGGCTCTCCTGGGCTGTCTTGGGCGGGCCTGGGGACAGTCTTGGGGCTCTCTTGGGCCGTCTTCGGCCTATCTTGGGGGTCTGTTGGGCTGTTTTGGAGCGGTCTGGGGAGCCTCTGGGCCGGTCTAGGAGCGTCGGAAAGCCGAAACAGCGAGGAAGCAAAAAACATAGAAACAAAAGTGAGAATCAACTATTTTCGCCTCTCTGGCCGCTCGTCGGAGGCATCTTCACGCCTCTTGGGGCGTCTTGGGGGACGTCCTCGGCAGCTTAAGACGCATCGTGGGCCCCTACCTGCATGCGGTCTTGGAAGCGTCTCGAGAACGTCTGGGGCCGCCGGGACGGCTGTCCGAGGGCTCCTGGGGCCTTCTACGGGCCCTCTTCGACCGTCTTGGGCGGGTCTGGGGGCAGTCTTGGAAGCTCTGTTGGAGGCTCCTGGGTCGTCTTGGAGCGGTCTAGGGAGCCTCTGCGGCGGTCTTGGAGTGTCGGGAAATCAACACAGCGAGGAAGCAAAAACATTGAAAATACATATGAAAATCAACGATGTTCGCCTCTCTGGCCGCTCGTCTGCGGCATCTTCACGCCTTTTGGGGCGTCTTGGGGGACGTCCTCGGCAGCTTAAGACGCATCGCGGGCCGCTGGAGACACCTGGAGGCGGTCTTCGGAGCGTCTCGAAACCGTCTGGGGCCGCCGGGACGGCTGTCCGAGGGTTCCTGGGGCCTTCTTGGGCTCTCTTGGGCCGTCTTGGGCGAGTCTGGGGGCAGTCTTGGGGCTCTCTTGGGCCGTCTTGGGACTCTCTTGGGGGCCTCTGGGGCCGTCTTCGAGCGGTCTCGGGAGCCTCTTGCGCGGTCTTGGAGCGTCGGAAAGCCTAATGAAAATCATCGATTTGGGCCTCTCGGCCGCTCTAGGGCGGCATCTTGAAGCGTCTTGGGAGGTCTTGGGGGGGCTTCTTGGGTGGTTTAAAACGCATCGTGGGCGGATGGAGACGCCTGGAGGCCGTCAGGGGAACGTCTCGAGACCGTCCAGGGCTGCCGGGACGGCTGTCTGGGGGCTCCCGACGGCGATGTCAGCCCTCCCAAATGCGGGCCCGGGCCCCAGGCCCCACATTTGTGGTCGAGGTTCGAGCCCCCGGGAGCGTCCTGCAGCCCCGTGGCCCCGAGGTTCGGGCCCCCGGAAGCGTCCTGGAGCCCCGTGGCCCCCATGGGGGTCCGAAGCACCAATCTGGCGGCCCCAGGTCCCGTTCCCCGGTATATATATATATATATATATATATATATATAATATATATATATATATATACTCGACGGCGCGCCCCCGGGGGGGGGAAGTGAGAGGAGGAGGGCAGGCCTCCTCGGAGGGCAGGCGGGGCTCCTCGGAGGCCCCCCCCGGCCGACGGGGACGCCGCCTGCGTCTCCGGAGAGACCTCGGAGAGAGCTCCTAGGGAGGACCGGAGACCTCCTGGGCCTTCTGATGCGGTCCGCCCCCTCTGCCGTCCACCTTGAACTCGCTCGCGAGACGCATCGCCGTTGGTGGAAGGGGAAGAAACAAGGGGACCATGACCAAGAATGCACGCGGAAGCGTCTGACCTTGGCCAGCGTCGATCTTGGTCAGCGTCCATTCGCGCAGCATCCTCGCGAATCGGCGACGGCCGACATGGACCATAACCGAGATCGGCCTGGACAAGATCCCTCCTCCTCCTCCTCCGCCTCCTCCTCTGCCTCCGCCTCCTCCCTCCTCCTCCTCCTCCTCCTCCTCCCTCCTCCCCTCCTCCTCCCCTCCTCCTCCCTCCTCCTCCCCCCTCCTCCTCCCCTCCTCCTCCCTCCTCCTCCCTCCTCCTCTGCCTCCGCCTCCTCCCTTCTCCTCCGCCTCCTCCTCCCTCCTCCTCCGCCTCCGCCTCCTCCTCCTCCCCGTTGTTTTGTTTCTTCCCTCCAAGTTCGATCGGCGACCCGGCTCCCGACGGCCCCCCCCCGCGCGCTGCTGCGCAGCGAGGAGTGGGGCCCCGGCTCCGCTCGGCACAGCGGGTTGGCGTCTGGGGTCGGTGCTCCCGCCCTCTGGGCCAGTTCCCTGGCCAGGAGGAGGAGGAGGAGGGGCAGGAGGAGGGGCAGGAGGAGGGGCAGGAGGAGGGGCAGGAGGAGGGGCAGGAGGAGGAGGAGGAGGAGGAGGGGCAGGAGGAGGGGCTGTTCCCCACTCCTGGGGATCTCCTCGCCGCCGCCGTCGCCGCCGCCGCCGCCGCCGTGGTCGTCGTCGTCGTCGTCGTCGTCGTCGTCGTCGTCGTTGTCGTCGTCGTCGTCGTCGTCGTCGTCGTCGCCGTCGCCGTCGTCGTCGTCGTCGTCGTCGTCGTCGTCGTCGTCGTCGTCGTCGTCGTCGTCGTCGTCGTTCTCATCGTTCTCGTCTGCGTCGTCGTCGTCGTAGTCGCCGCCACCGCCGCTGTCGTCGTTGTCGCCGTCGTCGTCATTGCCCTTGAAGCCTGCACTTCGCAGACCCCTCGCAGAGCTTCACCTGGGAGTAATACACATCAGCGAAAGCATAACACTTTCCGAGCGCCGCACAGACTTCTTGGCTCGGCGTTGTACCCCCTCCCTTCCCCGCGCACAGATCGCGCAGAGGGCGTCGCAGGACGCGCCGCAAGGTGGGCCCAGTGCCGACCCAAGAAACCAGCCCGAACCTCCGAAGCTTCGTATTCATCCATATGCGCAACTCCTGCCATCGCTCGGAGGTCCACTCCCCTGTGTATGTTTGGATGTCGTGCGTTGTTGCATTTCCTCGCGAGATGACCCACGACTCTACCTCACCGAGGGAAACACGCAAACGTCCGAGCGATGCCCAGAACTTGCTTTAGATCGGGCATGTCGTCCTACAGGCGGGTTTTCGACGACAAATGAAACATGGCAAAACATATCGAACAATTCTCAAAGATATTGGAAACATCGGCCACAGGCCATGTTTTACTGCTGTTGAGCATTTTCTGCTGCAGTAGGACATGCCCAACTTGAAAACTTGCCCGTATTCGGTGACCTCCAGGTCTCTGCAGTTTGCCTGGCGCAGGCGCGCCACCACCGACCACATGCCGCGGGCGGCCGCGGCCCGAACGGGCACCAGGCCTTCGGACTCGCTGGGCTCGTCGATCTTCACGTAGTCGGGGGAGACGTCGTACCGAATCTTACCGTCGGCGCTCAGCATGCACGAATAGATGGACGTCACGTCCTCGCCGTCCTCGGAGGAAACACAGCACAACGCGTCAGGCATGACCAGAAGCTTACAAAGGGGGCCCGCTGTCCGCGTGGACATCTTGGATCACCGCTGGAAGCCCTCTGCCGGCTCCTGGATCGTCGTTGGACCTAAATTTAAAGAATGCCCCGAGCACCAGATCACACCCTAAACCCAAAGAGGCTCCTGGCGCGCTCCGCGCGCCAGGGAGGGGTGATCCAGCGCCGCCGTTCGAAGATATCTGAGCGGAGCTCCGACAGTTCATACTCACGTAATTTTCCCTTCGTCGACGTCCTGGGTGAACTCGCACCTCACGACGCTGTTGCGGTTGACGAGCAGGCAGGCGATGTCGGAACACCCCATCTCTATCGCGTCGTGCAGCACTGTATTCCCGCCCTCCTTGCACCCCACCATCCACGCGTCCTTCGGTTGCCGCACGCTTGCGTTGTGCAGCAGCATCATCTGGTCGTCCTTCGCCGACGCGAGGACGGCATTGCAGATGGGCAGCTGCGTCAGCTGCGTCTCGCTGAAGCCCCGCTGGGCGTCGGCGCCCAGCATCAGCTCGACGATCTGCTTCCGCCACTGCAGGAGGGGCTCCAGGGCCTCGCCGCGGCCGCAGATGCGCGTGATGCCGTGTATGGCGCTGGCCGCGTCGCGCGTTTCCACGAAAGGGCGCCTCTTCTGCTCGCCCGCGGCGCTCGGTCTGTTCCGCTGCTTGATGAGGAACTTGATCAGCTTCTCCCGGGAGTGGCAGGCCCGCAAATAGTTGCTCTGCTCGGCCGGGGTCGAGCCGGAGAGACCGTGCGTCAGCAAGAAGGTCAGGGGCTTGTCGAAGAAGCTCGCCATGTGCTCCTTGGAACTGTGTATCTTGATCAAGCCGACGTCCAGGCTCGACAGGTCCATGCACTGCTTGCAGCCGGCGAAGAGGAACTTGCACTGGTCCTCGATCTCGAGACTGTGCCCGTGGAAGACCAGCTCCTGCAGCGGCGCCCTGCAGTCTTTGACGAGCTCGAAGGCCTCGAACTGAGCGAAGCTCGACCGGGACCCCAGGCCGAGGGAGCAGATGGACCTGTTCAGCCTGAGGAAGTTCGCCACCGACACGCCCGCCTTGTCGTCCAGCTCGTTGTCGCCGATCTTGAGCGTCTGTATCGGGCTGTTTGCGCTGATCAGGGCTCCAAGGATGTCCTGCAGGCCCGAGGATGGGATCTCCCCAGAGGTCACGTCCAGGCGCAGCAGCTTCGGGTACCTGGTCAGCAGGTGCGCGATGGCACAGGCACCAGGCCCACCAATCGTGTTGAAACTGAGGTCGAGCAGCGTGAGATTGTGAGCCGCCGTGAAGCACCCTGCGAGCGCGCTGATGCCTTTGGGCATCAGGTGAGTGTTCGGCAAGTGCACTTCGCGGATCTCGCGGTTGTAGCCCAGCTCGGTGGCCAGCGCCACGGCGCCCGTGTCCTCGAGTATGTTGTATCCGAGCTTGATGCTGCGGACTGCTTTGTCCTTGGAGAACACAGGATGCCCGCCGGTCTGAAGTGGGTAGACACATGAAGTAGGAAGGCGGTGAAGTAGATTGGGCTTCCGCCCGCCCCCCCAAGAGGAGGGAAGAGGGAAAACCACTCGATCCTTGAAAGAGGAAGGCGCCTGAAGTAGATTGGCATCTGGGCATCTCCAAGTACCCACTGTCAACGACCAGCGTGTACCTCTACGGTCGGACCTAGGCCAGAAGAGCATCCTTCAGGACCACGAGACCCTCCGCCGGCCCAAGACGCACAGAACATTCAAGGGTACCCTCCCCAGGGTGCACAAGAACATCCAACAAACACGAAGAAGACGAGGGTACCCTCCCCGAACCAACCTTGATCTTATATCTCGGTCCGGCTGTAGTTCTGGTTGTCCACTGTTTTCTTCGACGCAACATCCGCTCGGTCTGAATCCGCTCAAAATCTGTCACCGGATCCCCCCCCAGGCTCCATCCTGACTGGTGTTTCGAAACGGATATCCAGTCCGTGTTGGCGACGAGAAGCCTCGGCGAAGTCAATCAAAAAGGCGGGCGCCGTTGCATCGATTCAAATAGATCTGCGCATGCCTCGGCCCGACTGTGCTGCCAACGACCGACGTGTACGTCCACGGTCGGCCCGTATCATGAGGATGCAATAGGGATGCACGGGCCTTGGAAGGCCGCCCCGAAGCTTTTTGAGCGGAGCGCGGCCATCAAGAGTGGCCAAGGATGGACCGAGGAGGCAAGGATGCAAGAGTACCCTTGGGAAGGTCGCCCATGCTTACTATGCGGGTGGACTCTACTTTTAGGTCGGGCATGTCCCCCTACCGGCGGATTTTGGACGAAAAATGAAACAGATCCAAAAAGTACAACATAAAAATCAAGAATACTCAAAAGATCGTCCCCAGACAATTGTTTCACTATTTGGGAATTTTCCTCCTGGCCCGTCTTCAGACCAGCCTCTCGAGGCACCTCCGGCCCCGGCGATGAGAAGCCCCCCCAGGAGAACCCCCCAAGAGACGCCCCTACGAGGCTAGGGCAGCGGCATCGGTCAAGATGAAGCCAAGACGAGGAGCCATTCGGGTGGGGATGGATCGGGAACCTCTGAGATCCCGCGGCTCTGGAAGATGCCTCGGGCGCCGCGGCCTTCTCGGAGTCCCCGGGAGCGCTCTGAGAGCTTCCTGGCACGCTCGGGAACGGCTCTGTCCTCGTCCTGGCCCCGCCCGATCGGTGCCTTCGCCTCCGAGGCGTCCTCGGTGAGCGCGAGCAGGAACGACCGGAGCTGCCTGGCACCGATGCCGTTGTCCTGCAGCGAGAGCGTCTCGACCGAGAGCAGCTGGTCCTGGATCGCCCTCTCGCCCTCGGGCCTCCGCTGCTCGGGCTCGTGGCCGATCGCCGCCGCCAGGCTGTTGCCGGTGAGGTCGACCTCCCTCACCTCGCAGGGCTCGCTTCGGTTCCCCCGGCGCGATTCGATTCGATTTCGAAGGCCTCGGACTCCGAGTCGACTCGGCTTCGGATGGGTCCGATCTGGGCTCCGATGTCTCAACGGAGCAGCCTGCCGACTTCCGCCGATCCGACTTCTCCCGACTCGGCTGCCGACTGACTCCGATCCGATCCATTTCGATCACCGATCCGATTTATGGATTCAATTCCTGGCGTTCCTGTTAGGTCGGGCATGTCCCCCAGACAGGCGAATTTGGGATGAAAAATCCAGACATGTGCAACAATATCGTCCCCGGACTTTTTTTTATTTTTTATATTTTGAATTTTTCCCCTGTACAAGGACATGCCCGACTTAACCCGCCTGCCTGGAGGAAGAGCGGTGAATGGTGGACTGAGTATCGTTTAATCGATCCCCATCCCCAGCGGCGTGGCCTGGGCCCCACTGGCCAATTTACCCCCTAGATGGGGATCTAGGCCGTTCCCTTCGAGCTTCGAGGGGTGTATCCCCAACTGGGGGGGTTGTACTGGCAGAAACTTTCGACGGTCCGCGCAAACTGGTCGGATCTGCGCTGGACATCCCTCCCTGGCGCGCGGGGCGCGCCAGGAGCGCGCCAGGAGCGGCGCCAAAGGCGCCGCCAGGGAGGTCCAGGGAACATCCAAAAGAAGTCCGCGAGGACCGTCGAACGTGTACAGTCGGACCTGGGCCAGAAGAACATGAGACCATCCGCCGGCCGAAACAAACGAAACATCCAAGGGTGCACCCTCCCCCAGATGCAAAGAAGGACGTTCACCAAGCACGAAGAACACTAGGCACTAGGGCACCCTCCCCGACCCGACCTGGATCTTATGCCTCGGTCCGACTGAATTTATGGCTGTCCCTCACGCAGCATCCGCTCGGCTTCACATCCGCTCGAAATCTGTCCCTGGTTCCCTCCCAGGCTCCATCCTGACTGATCTGTCGAAACAAGTCCAGCCCAGCCCTGGCATTAGGTCGGGCCTGTCCCCCATACAGGCATTTCTTCACGACAAAGAAAAATAGTCAAACAATGCTCAAACATAGTTGGAAAATCGTTCCCAGACTATGTTTAAATTTATGTTAGACTATTCCTCCTTTAGAGGGACAAACCCGACTCAATCCTGGCGACGAGGAAGCTCGAAGAAGTTAAAAACTGAAAAAAAGGCCAAGGCGGGCGCCGTTGCGTCGATCAAAATGACAAGAGAAACCACAAAAAACGTACGCTCCCAGCCATGTACACGAGCACAGCCCCTCGATCCGCGAGACCGGCCGCGCGATACGAACATTCGCGCAGTGCGCACTATCGAAACCAGCGTGTCTTCATGTACGCGCACGTGCTCCTCTCGCTCCTGAACAGATCCGCGACGACCGTCAAGAACTTGGATTGGCGCCCCTTCTCGGAGCACGGCGCGTTGAGACGACGGCAGCACGGGAAATGTGCCCCAGGACCCCTCCCGGCGCCCGAGCATCCCAGTGTTGTCCGCTCAGCGTCCAACCGCGGCGACGAGGGGACTCCCTGAGGACACTTGCCGCTGCCTATCGGCGGCGGGCGCGGGGGGGAAGCGAGAAGGAGAGACGGCCTTCTCTGGAGACTCGGAGGTCCCATGGCCTCCCGAGAAATTTTCTAAGCCTTCCCCGGCCCCGGTGACAGGGCAAACACGTCGCAGAAGGCGCGAGGGCTTCTCATTCTCATTCTCCCTCCTCGCTCGCCGGGTCATGCCTCGACTCGCCCACTTCTGGAAGAACTCCGCGCGGACAGTCGAAAAATGGGTTGCCCGTGGAATTATCACTGCACCGGCCTTGCAGACATGCTGCCGCGGATTTGTGCGTGGATGTTTGCCCGGAACGGCGAGCGAAAAACGAAGTGAATCTCGCGCGGATTCTTTTGGGTCTTCATTCCTGGCCAAAACAAATACTTGCGAAATTCACCTCGAAATCCGGAACGAAATTCGCCAGGACACCCCGGGCTCGAATTTTCGGTCCTCCGCTCACCTCCGAGTCCGCGCCCGCAACTTCGGCCAGCAGCACCGCGAGGCCGCAGGAGCGGTCCAGCACGTCGTCGCTCTGCAGCTGGCAGCGGGCGAGGACGATCCTGGGGGGAAAAATCGTCGGTATCGTTTAACCAATCCCCATCCCCATCCCCATCCCCATCCCCTTCGAGACACCCACCAAATTACCACCCCAGTTGGGGACAAACCCTTCGAAACTCGAAGGGAGCGACCCACATCGACCTATATCCCCATCTAGGGGGGTAAATCGGCCAGTTGGGCTCAGGCCACGCCGCTGGGGATGGGGATCGGTTAAACGATACTCAAATCGGCAGGCGGCCAGCAGGTGGCTGGCGAGTGCCTACCTACACCAAGGTAACAGAAAAAGGCCCTGGAACAAACGAGAAATAAACACAAAACCCAGGATTCCCGATCCTTTCCCCTCTGATCTGGGTTCTGTTTCGTCTTCCCCCCCACTTCCCATCATTTCCCATATTTTTTCCTGGGAGTCCACGATCAACTGAGTCTGTGTTTGTTTGTTGCCCTCCTGACAAGATCAGTCCGCATCGAGTCGGGGCTGCATCCGCACGGACGCGGGAGCGAACCCGCTCGGCCGCGCCAAGCAGCGCAACGGCGCCACGCAGACGCCGGGGCCGCATCGGACCCTGAGAACATTGAAGTCGCATCGGATCGGGCAAAGAGGGGGGCTCGGCGTCGAGCCATTTCGATCGGCAGGCGCCGATGTACAGTGTGCGCCCCCCTGGGAAAGTAAGGCAACCATTGTACCGAATTTCCCCGGGGCCCCCGGTCGCAGTGTTGCGTCGGCCGCCGGCGGCGGCAGAAACACCGGATCGCGCGGCGACCCGCGCGAACAGGAAGCTTGAGGGGCGCGGGAGACGGACCGCGCGCAACAGTTGCACCATTTTGTTCAGGGCAGTGTGGATCGGCAGTCAAAGAGAAAATCGATTGGCAGATGGCAGATGGCTCAACGGTCATCAACGTCCCCACACGCTGAGAGCTACCAGGTTTATCCTCTGCGCTGCCAGCTCTGCAGCTGGCAGCTGGCAGCTCAGAATAACGAAATTAATAAGGACAGAAAGAGACGCACACGTCGTGGACAGAAACTTTCAGAAGTCTGCGCGGACTTCTTGGATCGGAGCCAGACAGACCCCCTCCCTGGCGCGAGGAGCTCCAAGAGGATCCAGCGACGATCCAGGGAATCCGCGTGGCCGACCGACCGACCAGCCCTTCTCACCCGAGATCCTGGAGACCCGTATGCCAGGCTCCTTCACGAGCTCGGCGACCTTCTTGAGTATCCTGGAGACCTTTTTTTTATGGGCGATACCCCGGGTTATCCGGGGGGAGGGGGAGGAGGGGGCCAGCCGATAACCTCACCATCGCGCTGTGGGCAGCCATGCATTTGCCTGCG